AAGTATGCAAAGGGTGTAGAATCAAGAAGTCTTCCCAAATGGTGACATCGGATCAAATGCATGAAGCAGCTTAGTATGCTCAGGTAACAGCAAACAGAATATTGCAGGAGGGTTAAGTGCAATTCAGGGGGTAACAGAGGACATGATTAAGGTTGAGGAGGGCCACATGTTTGAGGCCTTTGGGTCATGCTAAGGAACCCCAACTTTATTCTTGGCTAACAGCCACTAAAGTGACACGGCCAGATTTGCATTTTCAAAAGTTCACTCTGGCAGCAATACAGAAAATAATTTTGAGGAGCTGAAGACAGAAACATCAAATGGGAGTTAATTACAAGAGTTCAGAGTACAGATTAGGACCCTAAAAAGGGCAGGAATAGTGGAGGATAGAGAAAAAGACATATTTGACAAATCATTAAAAGATAAAGTGGTTAGAACTCAAATGAATGGATTCAATAATAAGGAAGAAGAGAATCTAAGCCAAGTCTAGAATGGCATGTAGGTTTCTGGTTAAGCTGAGGCACAGAGAGGGTAAGCGTCAAAGTTGTGCCATTAACTGACTTAGGAAATAGTGAAATAGCTGGCCTTGTGAAGAGAAGATTTTTTAGCTCATTCTTAGTCATCTTTAGTGAATTTCAGCCAGGATGCCCAAGAGAGGCAGTTAGTCACAGGGGTCTAACGCTCACAGGAGCCTCACTGCTGGAGCAGTCGCCACCGACAGACAGTCGCTCTCTCTTCTGCATTTTCCTGATTTATACAATGGGAGTAATAACTTACCCATCTTAAATTATTAAGGCTTAAGTGAATTCATACACATCAAGCACTTGGAATAGTGCCTGGCAGAGTCTCAATAAGTAAAATTGTTACTCAATAAGTAAAATTATTATAAGTGGAATTAAAACCTTGATATTAGATGAAATCTCGAGGAAGAATACTTAGGTTAGTGGTTGCCATTGTGCAGTGATTTTCTTTGGCAATATCTGGAGACGTTTTTGGTTGTCACAACTTGGGTAGGGAGTGCTACTGGCAGATACAGTCATTGGCCAGGGATGCACAGGGGACAGCTGCCATTATTATCTGGCCCAAAAGTTCAGTCATGCCAAGATTGAGAAATCCTGGTTTCTGGTGAGAAAATTAGTGAGCTAAGGATGCTATTCTAGGGAAATTCAAAATTAAAGGGGTTGGCTGACAAAGCACCCCTAAAGGAAGCCAAGAATGTAGTTCTGAAACTTATTGGTCTCAGGACCCTTTCACATTCTTAAATACTACTGAGGACCACAAAAAGCTTTTGTTTATGTCGGGCATAGTTAACTATATTTATCATATTAGAAATTAAGACAAAAACCTTTTTGAACACTTACTTTTAAATGAATTAATAAACATATTACATGTTAAGATAAATAACGTTTTTTTATGAAGAGTAATGAATTCTTCCCCGAAAATCAGAAAAATGATATTGTTTGACATTTTTGCAAGTATCTTTAATGTTTCTCTTAATACATTAATAAGGTGACTGGATGCTTTTATTTGTTTCTGCCTATAATTTGTTACTATATCACACATCACCCACCATCTGGTAAATTCCACTGTACGCTCATAAGAAAATGAGAGTGAAAAGACAAAAGCCTTCCTGGTACTGTGAAAATGGGTTTCCTGGTGGATCCCCAACAGGGTCTTACGGACCCCTCCATCCCATGGTCCCTTGGGGAACTACTGTAGTATCTGAGAAACAGGGAAACAACAAGCAGAGGGAGTAGTGTTGTGGAAGTCAAGACAGTCATATGTTTTGGGAAGGCAGTTGTGGTCAGCAGAGTCACATAAATAAAGA